GCATGCCGTGATGGTGTGCGTGTGTGCAATGATGATGCCGTGAAGGTGTCACACGAGCATGCCGTGATGGTGTGCGTGCAATGTTGATGCCGTGAAGGTGTCACACGAGCATGCCGTGATGGTGTGCGTGCAATCTGATGCCGTGAAGGTGTCACATGATGGCGCGCTAAGGCGATGGCCATGAAGAAACTTGAACTTGAACAACACCGAGAACCGAAGAAGGCCCTGGCCTCGGACATACGATACATACAATGCATTTATCGGGGGGCCGCCTTTTTGCCCGCACACAAGCGGACACACAAAAGATGCAAGCTCATGCAAAGAAAAAACCATGCAAAAAAAGCTCAAGCATGTGAAAGTGAATGAAGTCATCCGGGCAGCCGCCTTTTTGCCCATTAGGCGGCTTTTGTGAGGGTAACTGCGGCTTTGTGTTTGCCAAAAGCATTTACCCAAAGTTTGCCCAAAAGGCGGCTTTTGTGAGGGTAACTGCGGCCTTGTGTTTGCCAAAAGCATTTACCCAAAGTCGCCTTGCATTGACCATTAAAAGCTTCTTGCGTTGGCCAAAAGTTTGACACCTAAGGCGTACTGTGCGCCGATTCCAGCTTGGATGCGCAGATTCCAATACTTAGCTCACCGTAGCTTTTGCGGGGGTACTTGCAACCTTATTTTAGGACATCTCACATGTAACCCCAAGTGTGCACATCCAAGCACAAGGCCCTGATGGCCGATTCCGAAGGACCCCTGCTGTGGGTGCCCTCACATCCAAGGCCTTGATGGCCGATTCATGCCCTCACACAGGCCCTCACATCCAAGATCATCTTGATCATCCATTGGTAAGCGCCAGAATCGGTGCTGGTGGCTCCGAAGCTCCCAGCGGCCCACGGCAAATCACCATCCAGCGCACTTGGCCCTCGTCCGTACAACGCCAGACCTCAAACAAGATTGGTCGGACGTCCAAAAAGGGGGAAAAAAGGTACAGGATATGATTTTGGGACCTTTTATGGGATCTTTGGGGAATAAAAAATGCAGGATCAAGAAACACTGGGATGTACTCGCCGAAACTGCAAATCGTGGAGCCTAATGCCCCTGCAGCATGCGAAGCCATCAAGGCTTATGTAGCCCGTGGATTTACGCCAGTGACCGCAGCCATCGAAAGCTACCCTTTTGGTCCTTGGCCGGGTGCACATACGACGACACCATCATCGTATTAGAGTTTCAACATTGCACACCATGACCGCGTGCACATACGACACCATCACGGCATCGTAGGTTGAACATTGCACATCATCACACATGCGACGCCATCACAGCATCGTATTAGAGTTTCAACATTGCACACCATAACCGCGTGCACATACGACACCATCACGGCATCGTAGATTGAACATTGCACACCATCACGGCGTGCACATGCCACACCATCACAGCATCGTATTAGAGTTTCAACATTGCACACCATGACCGCGTGCACAAACGACACCATCACGGCATCGTTGAGACACCATCACGGAGTCTAAGACACATTAATAATTTGCCGAGGGGCTTGGCGGTTCTTCTCATGAAGTAGATGTTGTTGCTCCCTGGTTCCAAGAAGATCCACTCATCATAGCGGTTGGTACCGCCATGAAAGTACTTGAATTGAAAGGACCTGTCCATGATTTGCTGTGCACGCTGAGAAGGTGCCGGGGGCATCTCAGTGGGAAGCTGCATCCTCTGGATAAGTGCCATGGCCGGAATCGAGGGCAGTGACCAAGTGACCTAAATGACCTATATAAGTGACTCAAGTGAGTGACCTAAGTGACCTAAGTAGTCTAAGTGACCTAAGTGACCTAAGTGATCTAAGTGACCTAAGTGACTTAAGTGACCTAAGTGACCTAAGTGATCTAAGTGACCTAAGTGACCTAAGTGATCTAAGTGACCTAAGTGACCTAATTGATCTAAGTGACCTAAGTGACCTAAGTGACCTAAGTGACCTAGGTGACTGAATGTTTTTTTTCGGGTGATTTACTGTAATAAGTCCCGAGATGCTGTGAAAGTGCTTGGATGGCAGGCTTGATATGTCACGGCACGGCCGAATATGGCTTCTCATATAATGGTACTTTTACTCAATGTGTTTCTCCGTTGCGTTTCACTGTTGTGCTTTTGACACTGAGCCTCAAGCTGATTGACATGTTTGCGTCCAGTCGAAGAGTAGAACCATGGGAAAGCGCCTCGGCCAAGCGCACTCATTGCCGGGCAAATGCTGGTCTCGCTGGCTAAAATATTTCGGACAGAATGCGCCAAGGAAGTATTACTACATCATGGTGCTGATCGAGGCCTTGTGTTGTCGAGTGACACAAGTGTGTCAGCTGAAGGTCGAAGACTTTGACATGCGCGGAAAACGTGTCTGGCTTAAAGCGTTTAAGCGACACAGGGGCGTATGGAAGCCACTAGTGCCATCGATTGTGAAGGAGTTGAAAGAGTGGCGAGCCAAGGAATGGAAATGGCCTTCCCATGGGTACATTTTCCCTTCACAACGCGGCTCAACGAAAGGCCACATTTCAAAAGATATTGTGGCGCGCCATGTGAAAAAACATGGGGATACCTTTCTTCACAAATTTGGCGACACCATGCCCGAGCTGATCAATGGAAAAAACATTCGGACCCACAGTGGAAGACGCCATGCAATCAGCGAACTAGCTGCTGCTGGCATTCATCAACAAGTGGGGATGACATGGGCACAGATTGACTCTGCCCGGGTATACCAAGGATACATAGACCTAGACCCAGCTCAGGTCTACTCCGCTATCGTGAAGTATGACAAGCGGAAAAAATCCAGAAAGTAGATGCAAAAACGATTCACGTGAATTCAAAGGCGCAAACGTTTCACTTGAACTCACTCAAAAGCTGGGCATGAAAAGGGACATTGCCTGTCTTAGGACACCATCTCGGCATCCATTATTGGTCCATAAGTGGTTAGACACCATCACGGTGTCATTTTCTAGGACACCATCTCGGCATCCACGTGATTAAGCCGTTACAACATGTTGCAACCTGTACTTCCCTTCTTGTCATGTTTGTTGATGCTTTAATGTGACACTGTGCTGGCAATGGTTGGAGAAATGGACTCAAACTCACTGCGCTGGACTCAGGTCCGAACTTCCAAGTTGATGAGGTCCCAGCCTTGGGGCGTTGAAGATTGAAAGGATGCCGAGATGGTGTCCTAGAAAGCCAACTAAGTGGGAATGAACAAGGACAAGCGGTCAATGTGTTCCCACATGTTTCGACGCTGCAAAGATTTCATTTGGGATTGTGTTTGTGGTTATTAGCGCTGTCACATTAAGTGGTTAGACACCATCACGGCGTCATTTTCTAGGACACCATCTCGGCATCCACGTGATTAAGCCGTTACAACATGTTGCAACCTGTACTTCCCTTCTTGTCATGTTTGTTGATGCTTTAATGTGACACTGTGCTGGCAATGGTTGGAGAAATGGACTCAAACTCACTGCGCTGGACTCAGGTCCGAACTTCCAAGCTGATGAGGTCCCAGCCTTGGGGCGTTGAAGATTGAAAGGATGCCGAGATGGTGTCCTAGAAAGCCAACTAAGTGGGAATGAACAAGGACAAGCGGTCAATGTGTTCCCAAATGTTTCGACGCTGCAAAGATTTCATTTGGGATTGTGTTTGTGGTTATTAGCGCTGTCACATTAAGTGGTTAGACACCATCACGGCGTCATTTTCTAGGACACCATCTCGGCATCCACGTGATTAAGCCGTTACAACATGTTGCAACCTGTACTTCCCTTCTTGTCATGTTTGTTGATGCTTTAATGTGACACTGTGCTGGCAATGGTTGGAGAAATGGACTCAAACTCACTGCGCTGGACTCAGGTCCGAACTTCCAAGTTGATGAGGTCCCAGCCTTGGGGCGTTGAAGATTGAAAGGATGCCGAGATGGTGTCCTAGAAAGCCAACTAAGTGGGAATGAACAAGGACAAGCGGTCAATGTGTTCCCAAATGTTTCGACGCTGCAAAGATTTCATTTGGGATTGTGTTTGTGGTTATTAGCGCTGTCACATTAAGTGGTTAGACACCATCACGGCGTCATTTTCTAGGACACCATCTCGGCATCCACGTGATTAAGCCGTTACAATGTGACACTGTGCTGGCAATGGTTGGAGAAATGGACTCAAACTCCCTGCGCTGGACTCAGGTCCGAACTTCCAAGTTGATGAGGTCCCAGCCTTGGGGCGTTGAAGAATTGAAAGGATGCCGAGATGGTGTCCTTCTAGATGCAATGATTGATCTAAATGGATGCCGAGATGGTGTCCTAGAACGTCAAAGACGCCGTGATGGTGTCTGCATTTTCTCTCGGTCTGGCAATGTCTCACATCGCTGCGCTCAGTCGATGATCGATTTTCTGATGCGTCTCCTGAATTTTCAGGCCAGTTGATTTTCTGGACGACGCTCAGTAATGAAATTAATCAGTCTCCTGAGAGACATCAACCCGCTGGGACAGCAGGCACCCCTACTACAACAGCAGGGAAAGCAATTCAAGGATTCAGGAATGGCACGGTTGGCCACCCCCCAAAATTACTGTCACCTTGTATCCATGAAAGATGTGGAAAAAGCCAGAACCATGTGAGGCACGTCGCTGTAGTTTCAAATCAAAAGGTTGAATTGAGAATTACTTGAACACAAAATTTGCCTACTGTAGTTCCAAAATCAAAAACTTGACAATTTTTCCAAGTTAGCGAAATACCTCGAGCCACGTAACGTGGGATTAAGGATTCTACAGCCGGCTTATCCCAGAATCAGGGATGTTGGCATACCCACAAGTCTTTTGACACGATTCGATGCGAACCAAGATGTAATCAAAAACAAAATTGAAAGCTGCAGTCTCGGATATCTGCATGCATTTCATTCAAGTCTTTTGAAATCCAATACAGTTCCATTCTCTTTGACTTGCGCCATCTGCCGACTGTCAATGATAAGGCTACTTCTCCAGCCGACCGGATTCACTCTTCGGCCTCGTCGGCCATATCATCGTCATCATCGTCGTCCTGGATCAGGCCTCCCTGGGTCAGCTTCTTCAGCTTGTTCATGATCTCTTCCTTCTTGGAGCTTTCCTCTGATGTCTTTTGCTTCTTGGAACCATCAGATCCATCATCCTCTCCGGCTGCACGCTTTTTGCTCTTTGACTTGCCAGCAGCCTTACCACCAGCAGCCTTGCCACCAGCCTTGCCACCAGCCTTGCCAGCCTTGCCAGCCTTGCCACCGCCCTTGCCCTTTCCTCTTCCGCCCTTTCCTCTTCCGCTTGCACTTGGCTGAACGGTGTTGCCACTGCCACCACTGCCACCACTGCTACCAAGAGGAAGGGGCGTGCTCGCATTGGGATTGCCACCAAGAGCTTTGAGGAGGGTCTGCCTCAAATGACATCACAACGATTCACGCATGGCCTGTATTTGGAATGATTGAATTATCCGCTTCTTCAAAATAGTTTCTAGGTGTTATGAAATGTGCATGTGTACATATATATATATATATAACATATATATATATAACATGTATATATATACATAATATATATATATATATTTACACATATATATTAATATACATATATATATATATATACATATACAAATTATATATATATATATATTTATTTATTTATTATTATTCCACTTGTGTCCCAGGCACACTTCAACATTGTAGAGCGGAGAGGATTGGTCCTTGAATTGCTCCCAAACGAAGCGGACAAGGAGCTTCCTCAGCTGCTGGGCATGATACTCTGTGAAGGTAACACCAATGTACGACTTCTTGGCCAAGATTGCCGCCTCAGCGCCCTTGCCATCGATCTCAGTTCCATTCACCATCACGCTGGCTTGAAAGGAGTGCAGCAACTCTGCGAACACCGCCTGTGGCATCACATGGTAGTTCACTGGAATACGATCTTCCCCCAAATCTGGACGATCTGGGCAATCAGGCAGCGCTCCTCCGGACAAGACTCTTCCAGCAGGTCCATAGATCTTATCCTTCTCTTCCTTGCTAATGAGCCAAAAGCCTTGCTCCTCATCAAAAGGAAGAATCTTCACAGGACCAATTGCCGTGCTCAAGCTCGTGCCGGAGAAGATCTTGCGAGGGATGTCCTGCACCAACACGGGCCCAGAGGTGACAATGTGAATTCCCTCATGGGTCGGAATGAGGCCTCGCACCAAGCACCTGCGAGCTCGGATGGACTGCTCGCAGTAATGAATAATCATCTCCTGCCTCTGCTTCTTTTCCCAATGCTGCCCATGGTCCTCGGCATTTGTAATCTTCACACACGCACTGAGAACCATAGGAGCAAGTTGGCGTCCACCATCGAAAAAGATCACCAAGTCGCCCTCTCGTGGCTGTGGTCCACCTCTGCCTCGGACGAATGAGGAGCAAATCTTCTGAAAATGCTCACGGCGAAACTGAGGCCGTCGAATGTGACACTGGGCCGTCGCCTCTCCTGCAACCTTGGAGTCATAGACAAAGATCGCCCTTTTGGCCCCGGTGAGAGACACGCAGTTTTCCATGATCTGGCCCATTGCCTGCACTGAGTCTTGCTCGACCACCAATTTGACAAATTGATCTACGATCTCCTCAGCCTGCTTGGCGAAAGCCATCAGCTGCTGCGCTTTCTCATCTTCATGGTCCAGCTCCAAAGACATTCGGGGCAACAGGTCATGCACGATGACATTCTTCTGGGCTGGAGAATCTTCATCTGACTCATCTTCATTTGCTTCTTTTTCCTCTGCCGCCTTCACCTTCTCAATCTCTTCATGGATAGTTTCCATCATTGTCTTGAAAGGGTCATGGCATAAGATGTCCGCAGGCAAGGTTGACCCCTTCAAGGTGTTGCGAAGCTGGCTGTCATGCCCAGATCGAAAGACGACATTCTTGAGCATGTTGATGATCAAGCGTTCGGCTTCTGTCAGCTGGCCCAGCCATGTCAAGTCAGCCCCTTCCTCGAACCTGCGCAATGCAAAGCGAGATGAAAATGGGAAAAACTAGACGACGGATGGCCCGAGAGCGTAGACGAGCAAAGTCTTCTGTTGCTAGTATGGAGACACTAAATTACAAGACAATATATTGAAGATGTATTATAGGCAGACGAGAAGAGTAGTTTCAAAACAATATATTACAAGTACAAGACAATAGTTTGCATCGTATCTTTCGTAAAGTTGCAGACAGACGCTTTTACACACAGAACTGTTTACAGACAGACGCTTTTATTATACACAGAGAGGCTTTTACACACGGACGCTTTTACACACAGAGCTTTTACACACAGACGCTTTTACACACAGACGCAAATACACACAGAGACTTTTACACACAAACACGTTTACACACAGACGCTTTTACACACAGACACTTTTACACACAACACTTTCACACACAGACGCTTTTACACACAGACGCTTTTACACACAGAGGCTTTTACACACAGAGTTTTACACACAGGTTTTACACACACTTTTACACACAGACGCTTTTACACACAGACGCTTTTACACACAAACACTTTTACACACAAACACTTTTACACACAGAGACTTTTACACACAGAAGCTTTTACACACAGACGCTTTTACATACAAACCCTTTTCCACACAAACACTTTTACACAAACACTTTTACACACAAACACTCTTACACACAGGAGCTTTTACACACAGACGCTTCTACAGACAGAGACTTTTACACACAAACGCTTTTACACACAGACGCTTTTACACAGAGACCCTTTTACATACAGACGATTTTACACACAGACGCTTTTATACACAGACGCTTTTACACACAAACGCTTTTACACACAAACGCTTTTACACACAGAGACTTTTACACGCAGACGCTTTTACACACAGAAGCTTTTACACACAGAGACTTTTACACGCAGACGCTTTTACACACAGACGCTTTTACACACAGGCGCTTTTACATTCAGACGCTTTTACACACAGACGCTTTTACACACAGACGCTTTTACACGCAGAAGCTTTTACACACAAACACTTTTACACACAGACCCTTTACACACAGACGCTTTTACACACAGACGCTTTTACATTCAGACGCTTTTACACACAGACGCTTTTACACACAGAGGCTTTTACACTCAGAAGCTTTTACACGCAGAAGCTTTTACACACAAACACTTTTACACACAGACGCTTTACACACAGACCCTTTTACACACAGACACTTTACACACAGACCCTTTTACATACAGACTCTTTTACACACAGACGCTTTTACACACAGATGCTTTTGCACACAGAGACTTTTACACACAGGCGCTTTTACACACAGACGCTTTTACACACAGACGCTTTCACACACAGCCGCTTTCACACACAGAGGCTTTTACACACAGAAGCTTTTACACACAGACGCTTTTACACACAGAAGCTTTTAGACACAGACGCTTTTACACACAAACACTTTTACACACAAACACTTTTACACACAGACGCTTTTACACACAGTCGCTTTTACATACAGACACTTTCACACACAGCCGCTTTGACACACAGACACTTTTAC